CCGAATATCTGGGAAATCTGCCTGGGCAGAAGAATATGTTGGATCTCAGATGTCACTGTTGCACGTTGGATTTGATTCTATGATTTTAATTTATAAATCTTTCCCAAAGGAGCTGGGGAATGGAAAAACGCCTATAAGGCAGTTGAGCATTTGTCATTTTCCATTAAATACTGACTGCTTCCAGCATGTCCAGGCAGATTTAAACAGGTGAAAGGGTCAACTAAATGAGGATTGTGTATGTACATACATTAAGACATGAGAGCTTCCAGTAATTTATTTTATCTATAAAAAGCTGCTGTGATTTTGACTTTGAGAAAGGAAGTGACTTAGAAGGACCAGTAGACAGTATCCCATGGCAAACAGCCAAAATCAGATGAGTTCAAGGAGGCAAGAGGATGTGTATTCAGTCTGTTCAAGGGAAAGCATGCAGCTGTGCCCTAATAAAAAGGATTGTTGCCTTCATAATCTATGCAAGAGAGCATTTTTCAATGCTGTGACTCCTGTTTTTCATAATGTCTTTCAAAACAGGGCCTAATGTCAAGAGCCCCTTCTTCCCCAGTGTTAGCTTTGAGATACTTCTGTTAGTGTGTTCATTACATAGGATCCCTCCTGCACTGCTCCTGGAGAACTGCAAAGCAGTCATGGACTGCAGGTTTTCCATGAGTACTGGACAGAGTTGTGCAGAAAAGGAAGGCACCAGGTTTGGTACGACAGTGAGAAGCTTCTAGTCTAGTTAACGCCTGCACCAGCAAACCATTGGACCCTCTACAGGGATTTGTTTTATTATCTGAGCCGAAAATGCAATTTTACTTGCCATGTCCTGGCTAGAAGTAGTATCCATAAGCACACTGAAATTACAAGTGTGGGTGTATAAAAAATGTATCCTATGTGCCCTATCCAGCCATCTATTGGGCTTCCTTTTGGTTGAAAAAAGTGGGGTTTCTTCCACTTTCTCCTGATAAGCTGTTAACAATTAACATTTCTTATTGTAAGAAGGTCTTAAATATTTGGCATCTGAACTGCATCACCTTATGGCATGTTGTACCCGAGCAAAAACTTACCCACACGTTTCACAGAAGCAGAGTCCAGGGAAGAAACAGTTGTAGCACTTTGAAGTGCTAGTTATGCTCTCAGTTCTCTTTCCATAATGTTTTTAAATTGGGGATTTAAATCAAACACACATATTGATCACCCTCAAACTAATCAGTGAACTGATTCCAGTCTGGCATCCAGTCAGTGTTGCTTACAAGAGTTGCTGTCTGTATTCTCCCAGATTTTGTTTGTACAGTTATTTTATTGCAAATATAAAAAGGGAAAGAAAATGCAGTTGTCAGCTGTGAATGAAATCAAAGCAGGATAAATTGAAGAACAATACTGGTGTATATACCCTCAGCAATCTGGCAGGAAGGACAAAACTACATGTGAGTTGATAGCTGGTACATATTTGCTATATCTTCCTGTAAATAGTCACCTTCTCTTTCTGCAAAAAACATGAATCATGTTCATCATTTGACATTCTGTACATTATAAACAGCTTGCCAGGGAGTTTAGAAACACAGGTGAAGAAAATATTCAGGAGATCCTATGTAGTTTATATCAAGATTCCATGCTGATCTTTTGTACATATGTCTTCCTATTTTACTAGAAAGTTTCCATAATTTTATATTAGACAGGAAAGTCATGTTTTTCTACTTTTTTGGGACATTTCCATACGCTAAGTATTCCGAAATACAATTTGAGTAACAAGAATGACAGAATCCCAGATTGGTTTGGTTTGGAAGGGACCTTAAAGCTCATCCAGTTCCAACCCCTGCCATGGGCAGGGACACCTTCCACTAGAGCAGCTTGCTCCAAGCCCCTGTGTCCAACCTGGCCTTGAGCACTGCCAGGGATGGGGCAGCCACAGCTTCTCTGGGCACCCTGTGCCAGCGCCTCAGCACCCTCATTGTGAAAAATGTCTTCCTTATGTCCAGTCTAAATCTTCCCTCTTTCAGTTTAAAACCATTGCCCCTTGTCCTGTTGCTACAGCAAGGCTGGAATTGTTTTTACTCAAGTGGAAAAAGTACAGTTTGCTGTGTACTTTAGAAAGTAAGAAATGTCTATCAGTGCTGTTACACTCACAGCTTCTGGAGCTGCTGTGCCAAGGTGTGCATTTCTTCTCAGGACATGGTCCTAAAAGTAGCCATTGCAAAACAAGGGAAGACGAAAAGCTCAGGTGTGAAGAGCACAGAGCTGACTCCGAAGTGGCTGGAGAGCTTGACTACAAAATAATCCTGTTCCTCCTCTGAAGACACTAGCATGCAGAAATCTCTTTGTAGCTAAAGCTGGTTGCTTTCTGGCCTCAATAGGCTTCAAAAATTATTTCTATGATGTAACCAACAGTAAGAGGCCATTATCTGATGAAGACAGCGGTAACCTAAGTGCCTTACTGAGTGATGCAGAGCTGAGCCTGCATGTTTACTTGAAAAAATGCCAAAACGCAGGATGTGCCTGAGTAGGAAGGGAATTCCATATCCTCACTGGAGGAGCTTAATGGCCAAAAAGAGGAAAACAGAAGATGTGCCATGAAAGAGGAAAAGAACTCTGAGATTTAAAGCGCAAAGTAAAGTCTTGATGATGTACCCCTTTCTCCCAGCCCTCTTTGTTATCTGAAATACACCTTCACAAATTAGAAACTTTGCTAGCAATGATTTATTTCTTTTTTTCTGCATAAAACCCCTACTAACCTTTCTATTGTGTTATTTGTTGTCCTGGGCTGGCTGTAAGAGTATGCAGGGCAGAGTGCGCTATGTCCACTTCATCTTTGGCCATAGCAGTAGAAACCCTCTAGCCTCATGCTTTCAGTACAAGAGACAGGGTCCTGAGCGCCTTGGGGAGGTAATAGGTGTTTCAAGAAAGATGAGGACCATCCTGGTTTTGAACACCCTAAAAACCTCCACAGGGACAGCCAGGTTTGGTTTTAGGTCTTGAAATTACATGTGGGCTGCTGAAAGTAAAGCTGCTTATTGATTGTTCATTAATTCCTTTCACAGGGTAATTTATTCTTCTTCCTTTCCCCCCCTCCCCTCCAGTAGACATCTCTTCCTCTGCTTTTTGTGGCAGGAAGAGAACTTGCAGGGATAAATGGAAATTGTGTTTGTGACCTTATTTCTAGAGTGCTTTTGACTGCTGGTGCATCACTGGAAAACACCAGCCATCCTAGCTGCTAGGCAAATGTAATGATTTAGGCACTTTCCCCATATATTCTGTAGACTGCTTTTCTTAGTTGCTTTTTCTTAACCTAACCATTCAGATTATACCTATATAATCATTTAATGTGAACAAAACAGGGTGTTTTTTTCCAATAGTGATTTGTAACAGTAATATAAAATTTAGAAGGAAGAAAAGCAGCCTGGTACACTCAATGCGTAATACCTGCGGCATATCTTCTCATTGCTCTAACCTATGCTCTTCGACATCTACGCTTGTTTTTCTAACTGAAAGACCTGCAGGAACACTACACCTTCACATCTGATTAGCTAAAGCTAAGCAAATCAACGTTCAATCAGTAGAATCCTCTGACCTGGTAGACAGCCAACTCAATTAAACAGCTGTCCTGATTAAGAGAGACAAAAATGCTTCTGAAAAGACTTGCTGTGGCATAAAGTACCCACCAAAGTAAAGCTACAGCAATAAGGAGATTGAAGTTTGGCGTTTCACACTAATTTAAGAGCTTGTTAGTACCTAACTGCCTGTGTCACCGAGCGAATATGTGCCTGTTATGCAGTTTCACTGTCATTAAGTATAATTGTGCTAAATTAGCATCCATGAAGATGTCCTAGTTAAAAGGTTTTTACTACACCAGCGATTGTATGCAAATAACATAATCCTGACAGAAAAACCCCAACAAGCCCTAAGCAATGGATAAGAGAGGAATTTGCAGTTGTTCTTTAGAAGAGCGGGCAGGGAAGTGTCCACACCAGCACCTCCTGGGGCACTGAAGATTGATTTTCTCCTCGAAGTCAGAAAACTGGTCATGACCCCTGGACACTGCTGAGTGATACAGGTGTTTCTCTAAAAGAGATGCATGACCGTTGCAAATGTAGGTTGGGCACAATCCTGATACTCAGAGTGTTTGCATCTCTTGCTGAGTGGAAGTATCTGCAATGCTGATGTTCCTCCGCGTTCCTCTGAGCACTGTGCCCAAGAACAGTTTGCCACACACATTCTTCAAATGATCCCCTTAAGAATTAATGTTTGAAGAAGGCTCTTTTCTTTTTGACCTTTGTTATGCTTCACATCTAACTAATCCATGGTCTCAAAGCTAACGTGGTAACTCTGTAGGCCACACGTTTCTTATGAAAACAGCCATTAGGAGCTGCATGGTCTTGAAAACAGAAGTTGTTTTCACTTCAGATAACTGTGCTACAGTATTTCATCCAATTTAGTGCTCTTTTCTGGAGTTACCAGGTAAAATAACAAGCTGACATCTGTACTGTGTCATATGCTTGACTACCTGCATGCAGAAAGGGGCCAAAGCACAATTTCAGACAACCAAGTGATTTGCTGCTTGAGGGATTTTGCAGTATAATTAATCACTATCTGGGGACGTTAACCTGTTTACTTAAAAGGAAATTGGGTTGATCAAGGTTCACAAACTAAGGTTGCATAGAATGCAGACCAAGCTTTAGTTCAGCCTTGAAGCCTTGCACTGAAGGGTGTTTCAGAGGATTATCTGAATAAATGTTTTCCATAGCTAATAATTTGCCTCTTAACCATCCTTACTTACGAGCCATTTGGTTAACTTTCATCTCATGTCCAGTAAGCTAAACTTACAGAAAATGATCTTCCTTTTATATATAAGAATAAGAGCTGGTTCTTGCCTACCTAAATACAGAGAACCTTTGAGTAATTAATCTTTGCTTCCAGTGGTGCTGAAGCATGTTAAAGAATTATTAGTTCATGTACACACAACAAATAATGTATTTTGAAACTGTATTGATAGACTCTGTCTTTCATAGCCTGCTTCAGACAAAGCACCTGGACTGTGTTAGATGGGAGGGAAGAATCGGTTCCAGAAGGAAGAATCTCCCCTGATCATGCCTCTTCCCAGCATCTAGACATTTAAACTCAGATACCCGCAACCAAGAACTTGATTTTGACAGTGAAGCAGAAAGAGTGTTGGACTGTCTCAGGTACGCAGGCAAGATGAGCTCTGTTCTCTGGAGAATGAACTATTTGGTTTTATAGCACAATGTTACCTCCAGAGATGACCATTTATGTACTTCTGTTGGCCTGTTACAGGAATAATATTACCATATAACCAATTGCTTTTTCACCTGCAGCACCTACCTCCTACGTACCGCACCTTCATTTGCACTCCTTGGCAGCTCCTGTGCAGCAGCATGCAGATCCCTGTTGGCCTGGCACAGCAGATGGGATGCCTTGGATTATGCTTGAAACTAAAAGGCAAGTTTGGTGACATTTTGCTGCGTATTTTCATGTGCTAGTAGCAGGAACATGTGAGACTGAGGTACAGCATCACTCCTACTCCCATCACTCCTACTCCCATGACAAGCCTTTTCTGAACAGTTCAGCCAGTTTTGCAACTGCAGCAGTCATTTTTCCCTGATGCCTACAGACAGGGTCTGGAATAATACTGTCAACCCCCCCTTTCAGGTCTTATGGGTAAAGGAGGATCTGCAACTGTGAAAGGCTAGTACCATAATACCTTCTAATGCCATAGTATCATATAATGCTAGTTCCTCGGTATTTGATTTAATGTGCTAGTACTGCAAAGTTTCTATGGACTTTCAGGGCAGTTTTGAGTAATGTCATTAAAATTGTCACAGGAGGTAGTGTCTTTCAATATTTCATTCTTTTATGCTTAGTTTTTAATTATTCCTTGTTTAATTAGCTCTGAAAACGAGTGCTCTTTCCCAGCAAAGAAGAACGTGACTTATACACGGGTTTGTCTTTGTATTTTCCTTTTCTTCAGAAATTGCTGTATGAACAAATCACAGGGGCCACATTTTGACCAACGGGTTACTCAGCTCAGCCCCCCACAGGCTGGTCCATGTGTCACTCATGGAACTTGTGTAATTTCCATCTCTGAGGATCTTTGGTTACAGAGCAAACACTGTGAGGAATAACATATGCAAAAAATTAGGACAGAGCAATAGTGTATGTCAATGTTTCTCAGCCTTCTTTTAGGTGAAGAACAAGCCAGACTTTAAGCAAAGAAAGATGTACCCTGTTTGGTTTTGTTGTATTTTTCTCTTGTATAGCTGAATAACACATGGGCTAAAATGGGCTCATTCATGCTCTAGGTTTTTGACTATCACTTTTATTCATTTGCTTATACTTGGCTGTATATTTCATTAACATTATGGGGTTTAAAATCATCTGGTAAATGTACCCTCTAAGATCTGATGAGCCAGTGGTGAAAAGCGTTTGAGAAGCATTCAGCTAAGGACTTCTACAGGTCCTTTTAATCCATTTACTTTACAACTCTTTGGTACATAGGTGTCCCCTGGCACACAACTTGGCACCATTCACTCCAGAGTAATAAGAGTGATCAAGGGAATGAAATAACCCAGTAGTGTTGAATCCAATTTTGATATAGCAAAAAGAAATGAAGACGCTTCCTGCATGCAGGCTTTCCAGGTGGTTAGTTTACAGTTTAGGCAAATGTTATTTTCTTGCACTGTTAATCATTTCTTGTTAAGTGTGTCATAATACATTGATTTACAGCAGCTAACGTTGCATTGACAGCAGGGAGTACGGTACGCTCTTTGTAAAGTCAGTCTGAAGATAGATATTTAAAGCAGAATCAAAGAAGATGATAAGGACTTAGCCCACATGAGGTGATGAGGGAAATTGCATTGAGGTTAGCTTCCTGCGCTCTGGCATGGAGAGATATAAGAAACAAAAGGGTACAGGGGTAAATCATGGGATGATGGCATCATAGTGTCATAGAATAGTTTGGGTTGGAAGGGACCTTCAAAGGTCACCATGTTATTTCATGGGATGTCCTGGAAAAAACAAATGGAAGTAGAACAGTATTATGTCTTTCACATGCATGCTAAGCATCTACAGAGTGATTGAGAGAACTGTGTGCTGAAGATGGGCTTTAAATAGAAAACGGGAGAAAAAGGGGATGAGATGCCCTGTTAACTCCAGCAGTGACACCACTAACTCCATTAGAAACCCTGTTTTGAAATGATCTCCTGAGAGTATGAAACATAACTGGTTATTCTTCCACCCAAAAGTCATAGCAGCTCAAGAGCATTCAAAAAGTTTATTGTTCTGTGTACAGGAAGCCCTTGAGGCAACTCCTGCAAGGAAAACCCTGAAATGGAGGCTTGAGACAAATAGAGGCTTTGTTTTCATCACTGTTCTAAAGCCAGCAGAGCACCAGGGAGAGAAGCAACAGCCTGAAGTTGCTTGGAGCAGCTGGAGATAGGCTGTAAATGTGCGGTATGAGATGCCTTTAGCTGGGCCCTATGGTGTATGCACCCAACAAGCTCTCAAGAGCACTGTGTGAAAGCCACTCATTCAATTGAATGTGTGTAATGCCAAGAAAAAATACTCGGTGATGGAGCAAGTTTTCCTACACCCCAAAAGGCAATGCAACAAAGGCCTAACAGTGCAGGATCCTAATTCCCAGTGTGCATGTTCCCATTGCAGAGACAGGGGGAAAAGTCCCTGTGTTTGATACCAGCAGTGGGTGATACCATTCTGGTGATGTCCCCATCTGCCCGAGTTCTGCAGTGTTACTTCTCAAATTTCCTCCATAATCCATAGAGTTAGGAAGCATTTCCCAGCTGTCTGCTGCACTGAATAATACAGTATTTGTATTGTAATTTTCTTTTCTGAATGACAAATTATGCTGTTTCTCTATCACAAAAAGTTGATTGGGTCTGGAAACAGCATTTGTGCATATTCAGTGTCTCATATTGATCATAACAGGGAGAAAGCCGAGAGGAGCCTTCTCCATAGAAACACAAGGTTACAGTGGGAACGCCAAGTCTTCTCTCAGTGATAAATGGCACTGACACTGATTTCTCTGCTCTTGTAATCTCTGGAGGTATCTTTATGCAATAAAATTTTTATTAACATGCCCTCAACCTTCCTTTTTAATCTGCTCCACATTTTGGCTCTCAGATTCTGCAGAAAAGAAGCACATTATATTGTTTCTTCCCAAGAGGGCTCTTACTTGTATCTGTAAGCCTGAAATCCTATATTTGAATGTGAACAGTGGTATTAAATCATTCAAACCACCTGATACTTCTATAGCTATACCAGATCAAAGTCTGTTCTCAGATACCCATAAGAATTCAGCAGTAATTTAGCTACACACATATATATAGTATATATATATATATATATATATAGTATTTTGCTTTTTAGAGGGATTCATTAACGAATTCAACAGACAGAAAAGCTAAGAAGGGGGGTCTCATTGCTACAGGATGCTGTTAGCACCAGCAGTTCATGCAAGTTCTTATTGGAATTAGACAAATTCATGCACAAAAAAATCAATCTGGGCTGTTACACCCAAAGGGACCACTTCTGGTGCAGGAAACCGTTGACCCCACCTCCCATTCACCTAGGATCTGGTTTTAAGCTGGGCTCAGACTCCTTGGGTCCCAAACAGTCTGCACTGCAGCCACATCACAGCCATACCCATGCTTGGCTGTGCACCCTGACTCATGAACTAGCTTCCTGACCCTAGACCTGCCTCATCACCCATGGACTTGCCTTATGACCTGGGCTCCAGGCTATGCCTGCCTGTCCCCTTCCAGCCTGCCCTGCTCATCCCATGAGGACAGTGGGATGGGCCCTGGCTGGTGAAGCCATGCCCTCCTGGCCCACCACCTCCCCATGGCTCACAGGTTCTCTTAGCTTCTTATCTCGCTCCTTTGCTGTGCCACAGCAATGTCTGTGGATCACACTGAGGTCTGATATGCCATGACCAGGGTGCCCATCGAACCTGTGATCCACTGACCATTGAACACGGAGTAGGTGATGAAAGGTTGGTGTTTTGCACACCTATGTATTTTGGGCACCTTTAGCTGTGGGGCACAGGCACACACCCTATCACATTGCCTGCTTGCCTTTGCCATGTGCACCTTGCACATGTGGTCCCACACACTGGGATTAAAAATGACAGATCTGACACTAATATTATGCTTGATCATGCAGCACCATGAATCTTGCAATTACATCTTCACAGAGATTCTTCCTTATAAGAATAAGAGATTCTTCTTACAAGAATTTGGAAGTCTGAAGGTTACCGTGTCAAACACAAATGTTAGGGGTATGTCTGGATATGGCTGCTCACTGAGCTCCAGCAACGATGTTAAAGTGACTGAGACATGTCTTGCCCAGGGTCTTTAGAAGTTTGCCAGTGGGTTCTTTTGACTTGGAACAGGAGAAGGCAATAAAATGGCCTGGGCTGAAACGTGGCTTACGGCTCACTTGCAGGCATGAGCTAGGATAATGCCCTCTAGCTATGAAGCAGGTTGTCTATCAGCATATGCACTGCCCAGAGTTGAGGGAAGTTAATAACACAGCACAGTCTGCAGTTGGAATCAGTTAATCTAATTTGCCCCATGAGACAGAAAATCGGTGGCAGGTTTTCTTTTCCTGCTTTCCTTCCTTGAGGATTCAGTGTCAAAGAAGCCGGTGTCAAACGCCCCTGACAAATGATCATTTATCAAATAATTCAAGTTTCAGCACCTTTCCTGTCAGCAACATTCAGCGCTGTTGGGGAAGGTTTATTTCTTCGTTACCTTCTGCTCTGCTAGAATTGAACCATGTCCAGGCTCAGGATGAGAAAGGACATAGAGCAAATCATTTAGTCAATTTACATCCCTCAGTAAAGCATCAATTTATGTTAACAAAACCTTCAGAATTTAATATTGCACCTGCTCTGTAATTCGGTTCACTCTAATTTTTGTTGCAATAGAAAACCCTTTTATTCATCTCTTCCATATGTTGCAGTTCTGCTTGAGCCTCTGGATAACTGCGGTGCATTGTTCTTTTCCACTCAGCAATTTAGAGCACTTTTTCTGTCTGCCTATATTTCCACCTTACTAGGCCTAACCTCAGAACCCCACTCTGTTTCTCTCTGGCTAATCAACTGATGTTTCATCTCTTCCCTTTTTATAACGAGTGACTTGGTTTCTTTCCTCATAGGTCACAACATGTTGATTCATTTGTATTTTTGCAAATCTACTCATACTTCCTTTTGTGTCTCTATCCTTCCCTTGTGTTTTGGGTCAAAAGCATTCTAAATAGAATCATAGAATAGTTTGGGTTGGAAAGGACCTGAAGATCATCCAGTTCCAACCCCCCTGCTGTGGGCAGGGACACCTCACATTCAACCATACCACCCAAGGCTCTCTCCAACTTGGCCTTGAACACCTCCAGGGATGGAGCATTCACAGCTTCCCTGGGCAACCCATTCCAGTGCCCCACTGGAATGATAAGTTAACAACTTTCTCCCTGTCTGCCAAATAACTGCTTATGGAAGTTTGGTTTCTAATTCCTTAGATCTTATGAGGGACTTATGTCCTGAAGCATACAGTTTGATATCGCAGCCTGTACCCTTTCTAATGAATGTTCCCATTATATGCTTATTTGTCCAATCTTCCTTTGAATCCAAGTAACATTTGACCTCTGAGATGACCTGCAGAAAAAAAATAAATGAAAAAATCTACACTTTAATCATTTCCTATTTTATTCAGAAGAAAATCTATTAAAAGAAAAAGACCTCTTTCCTGCCTTTCAGATGTGCTGGGCCTTGGTTCTTCCCCTGTGTAGGGTGAAAGCAGGTAAGAGCTCAGCTCTTCTTTCCTGTACTTTGTTCTTCTGTATTGTCTTTTATTTCTCTCTGTGTCTGTCTCCTGCCTGCACCAAACAGCTTGCATCTTTTCAGTCCTTCTTCATATAAAAGCTCTTGTACAGCTATTCATGACCATCGTCTGTCTTTGCGTTTCTGCAGCTTTTTGTGTGAGATGATGATACATCTGGCTATGGGTGCTGCCAGTTAGACACATCCTTAGTTTCTAAAATAGAATCTAACACAGCCTCATCTCATTCTCTAGGCCTGCTTTTTTGATCATTCATGCATAATGTGAGCAGTACCTTCTACCTGATGTCTTTAAAGTGGCTTCTCTGCACTAGAGATCCAAGCTATACAAAACTGACAGCTAATTCAATCCTCAGATGGTTTTTGGAGTGAATGCAAAGCAGGAAGAACAGATTGACATGCAGCTCCTCGGAAGGCTGTTCTTTGATATATAAACAAGATAAACTCTAAACCAGACACAGTTTTCCAGAATCCCTGTGTCGTTTTCCTTTCAAATACCGTTCTTCAGGTCAGGCATTTGCTAATTTACTACATGAAATTCAGAGCCTTTTGGCTGAGCTTCTATGCTAAACTGTCATGCTGATTCTTCCTTTTAGCTGCATGTAGGTTTCCAACACATTCTTCTTTTTATCTGATCAATAGAGAAATGAACTGGCCTGAGAGACAGACCTTTTAAAAATGGAGTCCCATATGAAATAGGGTATGGTTTTTTCAGCAGGTGCTAAGCAGCTTTAAGTATTAACTGCACTTGCAGTTTCACATGCTCATCACTTGGTCATTACTCCCCACCACTTTCAAATTACAGATGCTTTCAATCAGATCCTTTGTACTGTCTCATTGGCAGGATTCACAAGCCACATGTCATGCACTCAGAACATCTCCTCTCCTTGCTTGCTTGCTTACTTCACCAGCTTCAAATCTGAGATTGGATATAAGGAAGAAGTTCTTTACTGTGAGGGTTGTGAGGCACTGGAATGGGTTGCCCAGGGAAGTTGTGAATGCTCCATCCCTGGCAGTGTCCAAGGCCAGGTTGGAGAGAGCCTTGGGTGAGATGGTTTAGTGTGAGGTGTCCCTGCCCATGGCAGGGGGGTTGGAACTGGATGATCTTGAGGTCCTTTCCAGCCCTAACTACGATTCTATGATCTTCATAAAGACAAGAAGAAAAACTCTAGAATTACCTAGCAGTACTCTCCTGCCACCATAGGCAAGGCTAGGACTCTTTAAGTGAGAGGGAAGGACTGCAAGGGGAGCCTTTATAATGCCAGTATTGCACCCTTTTTCTGCATGTGTAGCAGCGTTATTGAGGGGTATGTTCCCAGGAGAACATTTGGAAAGGCTTCGGGAAAAGAAAGGAAGAATTACAGACCATGAGAACATGGGGAAAAAAAGGTTATTTTTCCTTCTCAGCTGTTAAATTGTTAAATTTAGAAAGGAAAAAGTTTTACATACATATAAAGCCATAAGGATATATAGCAGAGTATATTGTGCAGCTAGTGTGAGGAACAAAGGTGAGTTGCTAGGAGGTGCTGCTTCC